TGGGATCGTGACAAATGCCGTGCCTTGGTATTAGCGATGTCGAACCTTCGAGTACAATTACCAGATATTTAATCATTTAGTTGTACAGTGTAATATCGATACTGTTAATCAGCTATGTCAATAACACAATTTATAACTCTGATTTACTGTAAAGTTAATATCTATTATGGTAAGAGGACTGGAAGTATCCAGACATATGTACAGAGTCTTTCTAAAAAGACGCTTTAATTTTAATTTCATACAACTACCTAACAACAGATCGTCATTTCAGAAAGACTCTGTATGACATGATGCATCGGAACAGAGGCAACGTTTTACATTTATTTTGTTACTACAGTCTAGTGATCTTTTGTGGCCTTCAGTTTATCCAACTCTGCTCAAAAATAAAACACGGTTAGTGTTACCTAAGTGGTTTAGAGGCAATAAATAGCCGTGGAGCAGTGACATTGGTACCCACGGTCATGGCAGAATGCCAGGCAAGTATCTTGTGGCATTTGTTACTTAATTACAATTCAATATGGTACATGATGCCAGTAGCGTAGCTGACTTCGGTACTGGCATGGTGTCTTCAATGTTATCGGGTACCAAGCGAAAACTATCTCACGAAAGAAAATAAATTATTAATAAAGCGACAACATAAACGTTAGTGAGATCTTGGGAGAATTATGTATTATATTCTTTGCCGGACTGGTGGCTAATAGCACTATCCTGAAGGTCCTGAGATCGGCCACACCGACACAGTTTCTCTTGGTTTCCCTGTCTTAAAGCAAATTCTGAGATGGTTTCCAAATTCAGGTATGTCACTGTATGGTTCCGATGAAGTTTCGCAAAAGAATACATCAAATTAACCCACTTACTATGGAGGCCACCAAATTGTCTTTATGAACCGTCTCTTACGCCATAAATTACAAGAATAATCAAATGTTGTTGTCACTTTCTGAAGCTGCTATTTCCTTCCACTCTAAGGTCTTCGCCACCCTTATTAGAGGGACGAGCGAACGAAGCCATCGTAAGTAAAATGTATTTATCCCTGATTACTTGGATCTAAAATTGTTAACTATGAACTTGTAACGATTTACAAAACCTAATTTTGTTTCCTTTCTTGTTTCACCTCAAGTTCTTTTTAATTTTGCTTAATTGAAGCCTACGACCTGTAAGTTACGCACTTTTACGTGACATATCGATTTCCAGGTTACCAAAACTGTTATACTGTGTAAAATGTTCTCCTACTGACCACACCTCCTGGTAAAAGCAATGACTAATGACAATGCGACCCTGCTCCACATACGTTTGGTGAGCGGCTATCAGGAATTGTGCAGTCCACAAAAAGTCTTCCTTCCTACAAACAAGTCTTAACGTATTTAAAAGCAATTTCCTTGGTAGACGAAAGGAAAGGAAAGGGCAGTTAAAATGCTGCAAATCGAATTTCTAGGCAAGTCCCGAGGCACAGACATGCTACCTACAATCGGGTTATTAATTTCCGGAAATAACTAAACATGCCTTCTTTAGACGATGGTCTCTGCTGCGTATTAAGTAGTATGTACAAAGTGAACGGACGCAAAGCCATCGGAATATTTTACATTTTTTACTGGGGAGGAAGATCCATTCAAAGCTGTCGGGACAATTTAATTTCTGTTCGTATCGATTCAATACAATCTTTGTCTTACTCAAACAACTTTACCGACTCTCTTTCCAAAATGGTTCGTCATATAAGAAACGCACATATTACAAACATCTCATTCTAACCTACAACGTTTATTTCAAGCGTTCATCGATAAGATGAGGATATAACAGAAAAATAACCAACTAGCTGAGTCCTTGAGAAGCTGATAGTCGCTTAGATAAACAAATAAATTCCCATTTTTTATGAAACCGACGGTTTATTACAATGCTTACAAAACCCGTCACTGATCGCTATCCGGAGCCAGATAAATCCACTCTGCAATCCCAGCCTAATTTCTTAAAAATCCATTTTAATACTACCCTCTCATCTACATCTACGACTTCCAAGTCAGTGAAGAGTACAGATTTAAATCTCCTTATTAAAAACATTTCTACAGCCCCCCCTCTTCTGTCCAGATATTTCCTAAGCATTCTGTTCTCATATGAGTATGTAATAAATACGATAAAAATATTTTCTGACTCGACAGTGTATCTGTAGTGTGGCTGACTTTGCAAGAATATATTTGTATTTGAAATAAATAAACATCAAGGCCAATGACGTGTGCGAAACGGCCAGAACTGTGGGCTACATTTTCCCTCTTAAGGAGTATCTCTGCTGTGCAGGTGGCGGCCACAATCGCTGCACACGGGAACTCGGTGTCGGTTGGAATGTGCCAAGGTTACTCGGCGGTCCTTCTACCCCAACTCCAGCAGGGCGGAAGCCAGCTGGTGGTTACAGATGAACAAGCGTCATGGATTGGTAAGAACCTGCTGTTGGGCCCAGATCTCCACTATCCTGAGCCACATCAATGCAGTCCACTAACGCTCTAATTATACGAAATCCGTTTTAACGTTGTTTTCCCATCCACACACTGTTATTCCAAACGACCTTTCACTTTAGGGTTTTACTACAAAATTGTATGCACTTCCGACTGTTTCCGTTCTCCGCCCAAACGTTTCTACTTACAAAAGACACTGAGCACCTCTTACGCCCCTAAAGTACGAAACATTTAAATAGCAGGCTGTTCAAAATTTAGTTCCGATCTCAAAGAAAATACGTCTCTCCGTAACGAAGATCAGCTGGAAATGTTTATGGACGTAATGACAGCCGATCTCAGAACCGTACAGAAACCATAAATACGCTCTTTGGATAAAATGCAGAGAAGGTAATATTTTATAGTTATTACTGAGCTTTAAAGGGCTAAACCTCAAAATCCCGTATTTACAAACGAGGCTCTTGTGACCGAGTCATGGCGTTAAAACCGCTGCTTCTGCTGTATACCCCCAACCATAGCGACATATCCATCACAAATCGTCGCTTTATCAGAACTTCGACCACATAGGGACGGTGTATACGGGGCATTGGTTTCCACTTTTGTTCTGTTTACAAAGACATAATGTCATGGGTGCCATGAACACTAAATGCGCAACAAATATAAATTGTTCTTGTGCTGAAGGTCAAGATGTAAGTTAGGAAGAGCCACACCCTGCTCCAGACATGTTTGCAGTCCTTGCGACATGACAGCGACGTCGGAATTGCGAGAGGGAGTATACAATAATAGCGAGAATATAATTATTTTACTAAACATAAAAAACGACTGTGTTCCATGAAAAAGGGATAAAAATAAGTATTATATTGTCTCTTACAGCCTCTCCTACCAGAATGCTGTCTCACCGTTCTGTCGAACTAGGCACGGAATTATAACCATTGCATCAAGTGTGGGAAAATAAGATAAGCTCACCGAAAACAAAGTTTTAGGCGCGTTCATTTCTCTCTTTTTCTCTGCAACCTTTGAGCGGTTTCCAGTCTTTACGAAGGCAGAGTATAAAATAAATGTATCCAAAGCAAAAACTGGCATCAGAAATTCAATATGATCTGAACCTCAGTACATCAGGGTTATTCCTTCGTCTTGCAGCATCGAAAATTTCCTCCCTTCTGTTTACTTTTCATTCATATACTACGTTTTTCATGTAAACCCATACAATAAAATCGAGGAGTGAGGTCCTGTGCCCACAGTGGCCGATTCTGCGGACAACCACAACCAATCAATCCATCGTTACGGTACAGGTACACTGTCACGTGTGAACTGAAATACGGAGTGCCCTGCAAAACTGGAAGTACATCCGTAACACAATCTTGTCTTGTGTAGTTCAGATCGTCTTGAATTTATGTTCATAATTCCTTAACCGCTGAAAATCTAACACGTGATCATGTGACATTTCTGACTGGGAATTAGCTCAGAAATAAAATCCTGAATTATTGACATGAAATCATATGTTCAACACAGACTATTTAGTCATTACAAGGAAACGAAAATCTAGAGCATATGCTACCTGTACATAAATAAATATAAAATATAAGCAATATAACATAATACTAAATGCAGATTGTACACTTGTATAAACTGAGCTGTAAACCGGCTGACGTCTGCGGTCCACAAGTTGAAAAAAAATTACTTTAATGACCGAGTCCTTTTCTTTGAGATAATTTTATGTTACGTTTTCGGAGTTTCCAAACAGCTGTTTTTGTTGTCTACAAATATTTTCTAACCTAACTGTTGGACGTCTAATTATTTTGTAAGATTTGAGGTTTTCACAGCAGTGAGTATGAAGATTTCTGTCTTCTGGGTTGTTGCGCTGTGTAGTCTGGTCGATGTTAACCAACGTTTCAGAGGTCATACTGCCTCCATCATAGACTACACAGCGCAACAACCCAGAAGACAGAAATCTTCTAATTATTTTGTTTCAATTTTAGCCAGTCTTGGAGTGATTTCAAATCCCATTGGCGCTCTTTTGGCTGGAATCCTGATGGAAATATTCGGCAGGAAGACAACAGTGAAGCTAACATCTCTGCCTTACATCATCGGATGGGTGCTGATCTCCCTATCAGACAACATTTTCAAGCTTTACGCTGGCAGATTCATTTCTGGAGTTGCAGTCGGTAAGTTTTTGAACTGAGATTCTTTGTTTATGCCAATAAAGTGCGTTTAATGACGCTCTGATAGCTGTGTTGGTAATATGAGTCGTGCGCTTGGCTGAAAGGGCATACGAAAAGGAAAACTTGCTCGTGACATGTTTTGATATCGACCAACCATCCGAACTGTGAAACCTATGAAAATCCTTTCTTGGTTGTGACGCCTAATTGACCAATAAGATAGGTACCAACGTTTTGCTACAAGATAATGCTTCTACCTTCACGGCAGTTCACTTCAAATCGACACGGCATCACAATTTACAAGACCGTCACTGACATATTCACCGCCGTCAGAACATAAATTTCTTAAGGAAACCCTGGCACATATACTTTCGAACTGGGATCATCCAGAATGCTATTCAAAAGTGATACAGCTATAGCAGTCAGCTCAGTGCACGAATTGTCTGTTAACCTAACGTGACCTCACTACATATCCCATACATCTCAATTATTTAACCATACTAGCAATACCAGGTGTACATACAATTTGAAAATCTTCTTCTCGTGTCTTTTTAAGTCTCCTGTTACATCATATTTCTTAGCTCCGTTTGTTAGTGCACAATTGTAGTAGACCCAGTGGCAAACCACATACACATATATGAAATATTTTCTTAGTTAAATCTGTTGTTAACAGACTGACTACGTGGCAGATCGTAAATGGAGAAGTGAAAGACACTTTCAAAATCTTCCTGTGTTTAGCACTGTGATGATATATAGGCCGACTATGGAAAAGCATAAATAGACATTATGGACATTTTCTTTGCTCCATTTTATTACCAGAACGGTAAAAAATCAAAGTGGGCGTGCAGCAAACCAGTAACACAGAAGTGAAAGGTAAACTCTTCTCTCCAACACTTGCTTTCATCAGCGTCCTAAGAACAGACTGATAGCGTTTTTACTTGCTAAACTATAACAATAATAGTGAAAGACGTGTAGTTCTGAGGTTCCTATGGTCCACTTTCCATACTGTGTATTGCGGAGGAGTTCGTGACATTAATATCACGGTATTTTGTATTGCAGGAATGGCTACAGCCAGCTATGTCTACGTAGCCGAAATCTCTCAAGCGAAGCATCGGGGAACTTTGTCCGCTAGTGGACCTATCCACGTGTCTTTCGGTGTCCTGACCGTCTATATTCTCGGTTTTATAGCACCGTGGCAACGGGTGGCAGCCCTGTGCACACTCTGCGCACTACTAAGTTTCATCTTCATGTGCGCAGTGCCAGAAAGTCCACCTTGGTTGGCTTCTCGCGGAAGAGACACGGAAGCACTTTCAGCCCTAGTGTGGCTCAGAAGAAATCCAGCCGCGGCTGAAGCAGAACTATCTGAGCTGATGGAAACCATCTCCAAAGAGAATAATAACAGCCATACAAGTCCTATGTCACGTAACAGAAGAAACATGTTGGCAGTCAAGAATGTCTTAACGCCATTTTTCAGGCCTACAGCTTGGAAACCGTTTATAATCTTGTTACTTTTCTTCGCGTTTCAAGAAGGATCTGGCATCTACATCATCCTTTATTACGCTGTTAATCTTTTCCAAGAAGTGGGCACAGGACTAAACGAATATGTTGCCTCGATAGTTGTTGGAGGTGTACGATTAGTGATGAGTGTAGTTGCAGCCATTCTGATGAACAGTTTCGGCCGAAAGACGCTAGCAGTTGTGTCCGGATTAGGTATGGCCGTATCTATGGTGGCTGGTGGCAGTTATGAATACTTCTACTCCAATTTGCCACCAACTAATCGGCCATTAGCGTGGGTTCCTCTAATCTGCGTCCTAGGTCATGTGTGTGTCAGCATGATGGGGTTCCTTCAGCTGCCATGGATGATGAATGGAGAGCTGTTTCCTCTTGCAATCAGAGGAGTAATGGGTGGAATAGTTGCATCATTAGCCCATCTGTTTATTTTTGCTTCTGTAAAGACGTATCCAGATCTGATGCATGCTCTAGGTACTGATGGTACTCTGTGGTTCTTCGGAGCCGCTGCTCTCATGGGGGCTGTGTATTGTTACATCTTCCTTCCAGAAACGAAAGGGAAAACGTTACGAGAAATAGAACTCGAATTCAGTCCAAAAGAAGGGCGGGATTATGAAAAGAATACTATGACAAAATATACATTGAAGAGGGACTTTCACGGACATAATAAAAATTCGTTCATTAATGTTGAAAATGGGGAAACTATGAGGACTCCTGAGGATTGCCTTTCTGGTGAGGTGCCACAAATTTTTACAGTGGAGGCACAGAACACGAAGTTAAAGCGCTTGGTAGCCTAAATGATAATGCTGCTTAAGACGTGTGTATTGCTTGGTTAAATGAAGTGACTGCTTAAACTGGAAACAGTGACAAGAAAACGATAATAAAGTATCCGGAACATTTCAATGAAACGTTCGAATGTAATAATTAGCTCAAGTGTGGTCACAGGATTATTATACACTACGCCACAAAGTTTTATCCTTTACACACAATGTACTTTTATGGCGGACGTCGAAATCGACGGTGCGTTATAAACAAATGGATGAAGCAGAAATACAAAAGGTGAAATGACCGTCTTCATGCTGCATTCATCTGGTGGAAACAACGGACGGTTCACTGCAGTCCGACGGCATCTGACCGCTGAATTAAACAAACCGTTCCCTATAAACTAATACAACCAAACAGACGTTTCCACACAAGAGACGTGCGTTTCCTTAGAGACGTTCCCTAAATCCGAAAACTTACAGAACGAGAAAGAACGCCTGTGGTGCCACACTTAGCAGTCGACTTGACCAGTGTACATGGGTAAGATGACCGAAGTTCAAGTCGATGCTTAACGTCTCATAAGTTTAGTAAGGAATATCTCCCCCATCGAAGAATAATGTACAGCATCATTAAATTCTACACTAAATAAATTGCAACATACAGTGAAAATTCGTATTAACCTTATCTGTAGAATTTCTCCTTAGAATTATACGATAGTTGGCAACCATGATGGCGTTGTTCCAGGAGCGATGTAAGGTAGAATTCGCAGAAAAGTAACCAGCGACAAGCAATAGGCGATACGCGAAAGGCTATACAAATAGCACATTACCTATGCATTCGCCAAACAACAGAATTGCTACTTTCTGGACAAGTCGGTAAAGGAAGTGATCATTGTATACCGGTATCGCCTGTTGCTAGTTGCTTCCCAAAAGCAAAGCTAAACACCTTCTGGTGAAAGCTAAGAAGAATTATCAATTCATGTTTGTGATATGCAGAAATGAAAAATAGACTACTATAAACCAGTTACCATAACTGAATCCGAAACAGCATTTTTTCTCATCAGTTAAATATTTCCGAAGAAAAAACAAACCAATTATATAATTGTCGACGCTACGGACGAGATACATCCTATTATAACTCATTCACTTTCGTTCTAAATAGACCTCTAAAATTTGTCACGTTAATAAATGCCTCCCACAATTTATTTACAGTTCCTTTTAACTATATCTGGGTCTTCTTCGAATGGAAAATACATAAATTATCACTTTTAATGTACGACTTTCCTTTCACGGGAATTATAAATGATCATGGAAATAAACAGTATTTTAGGATCCTACGGATGTATATTAAGTTGCGTTTCTATATGTCCCACCTCAAAAGTTCGCATACATCCACTACTGCGATATTATTGACGGTAAGAAGTTAAGAAATACTAGGACAAGGTGGTATCTACTGGAAAGCTGCTCATGCCTAAGTTTTATGAAAAGGGGCACTGGGAAACTACTGATGATAAGGCAGCTCAACTTATTGGAACCATTATATTTTGCAAACTTTTTCATTTTGAGATTGAAAGGGAAATTTCAGAAATGTAGGTTGCTGACATGAACTACCACTTTGAGAAAACTTCTCTAACTGTAGGCGGAGGCGTGTGTGATGCGAAGTCGCCTAGTTTACTTCAAATTAAAACATGTAGACATTATTCAAAGCCAACCTATATGCACCTACGAATTTACTTCATCAAAGCAAAGACGAATTAATTTTCTTCAGCGAATTAATTTTATTATGTCTTTGGCTTTGTCGTTGTTCGTTACGATCTATGCTAAACGAAAAAATACCTCATGCATACATTTTGTCCGACCGTCAGTCAGCTCCGATCGTTCCGCCATCTAGCAATGATAATACAAAATAACTCTCTGCCACATAACACGGGAACAGCTCAAAGGATTACCTTTAAATGTCATATGAACGACATGCTACTCGAATCAACATTAAATTAGTAATTTTTAATTTGCAACCAATAATACCTAAGTGACGAATTCTCAAACTTATCGAGTGGTACAATGATCATTTTTTACGTTTCTATCCACTAAACATTGTGTATGCAGAAGTAATGGCTTTCTGCAATACTGTTTACAAGTTTCATTCACCTGTTTTGTATGTATCTTCTCCAAATTCAAGCCTGGGTTACAGCATTTAAAACTGATACCATCTAGTAAACCTCAATCCACGACATGCATACGTCATTTTAAAGGATCAAGTTAGGAAATATCTGGCAATCATTTGGCGTGCTTACTGGCATCTTTATTATGCCACCTCCCGAAAATGATGTTTTTTTTTCAAAACGGCATTTCAGGAGACAAAATCAATATTGCTATCTTATCACATGACAGTCGACATCACAAAGATGGTAGTATACATAATGCTACTTTCCTAGGGATTTATGAACCAATTTACGATACACGATGATAACCATTAACAAACGATTGTCTTAGTTCCGGTGGATGGCGCATTTCATGGTTATTCAATGTTTAAATATCGACAATCGAATACGTATCGATTTGAATCTCTCCGCCACGTACCGTCCTTACATGACATAAATATTATAAAACATTATTAGATTAAGACTGTCATTCTATAGCTATAAAATATAAAAGATCACAGAAGAATTTGAGTGTAATGTTATTACATTAGAAGTTAATACAATGCCATCCATGAAACACTGAGTATGCAGAAGCAAACTTTAATTGTACTGCTATAAGTATAATCTCATAATTTAAATCTAACTGACAAGATACAATAATAAAAAAATAAAATAAAATAAAATAAAATAAACTAACTGACAAGATTAATAATTTATACCACCCAATAAACCGCAATTCACGAAGGGGCCAGATTTGGTTAAGTTTGGTTAGGTTACGCATGCGCAGACGATCATACACAATGGCGAAATCTTACTTCCCGACTTCAAGCAACCGTTTCATTGGCATTACCATGTGTACAAAATTGAGAATCATTATGATTTTGCAATATTGAAAAAATCAAACGTTTTTGCTTATATCCACAACAAATGTTATTATTTATTTTAGTGGTATAATTCCCTTACTGAATGCGTTATCACTATTTAAATTTGGTTAACTTACGATAGAATATCTTGTAGGTAGGCAAACTAGTGTGATCTGTTCAACAAACTGAATATAATAGTCACTCACAATAAACTCGAACAGATAATTAAAAATGCATTCATCGCACACATTTCATGTACATATTACAGCGACACGTTTCAGCCTTACGTGGCAGTAAATTCTTGTTACACTCTTCCGGATACTGTAGTCCAGCAAGTGTTGTACGTGAACCACGATTTTACTAGTAATGAAGGTTATCATCTGCACAGGACACATAACTGCACGGCGCAAATTTCACTGTGGCTTATTAACAATAAATCTAGAAACATCTGTATAAAGATCAGATATAACAAATCAACCATAGCACCAACAACTATTCAATACACGTCAACGCAATATCCCTGTTGATTGTCTTCAAACGATACACGTCCTATTCGTAAGAGGAAAGAAGCAAAAGTCGCTTCTGCAAAGGAAGCGCAAGGTGAACAAGTTGAACACGGACGAAAGGACGGCATCCAAGCTCCCAAATCAGCGCCACCTAAGACATAACAGGAAAAACTGGGGCTCCGGCTGGAACCACGAGTTGTCAAGACTGAGGCTACGCCCACTCAATTTCCACTTTATCCGACACAGTAAGACGGACGGACCTCCAGGCTGCCCCAGCTCGCAGTCTACGTAAGCCCCTTTGTCCAAAAGTGTTGACGAATGACTCGACACCCCCCCAGGTTCTGTTACCGCCTGAAAAACCAGCTGGGGAGGCAATGGCAAGTCACGAGCGACCCCGCTCTGAAAGCCCAGGTCAGCCGCCTCCAGAGGTCCGTGAACTATCGGCTGAACGAGCGGAGGAACGAACAGTGGACCGATAAGCTGGAATCCTTGGACAATAACAAACGGTGTAGCGCGAGTTCCCACTCCTTCGGCTTTTGGCAAGTGTCGGGAGAAATAGCTCTCTCAAGAATCCAAGAAAGCGTGAAACTTAGCCGACAGTTTTGAGGATCGGTTTCAGCCGGTGAACGACCCGGCAGTTACCGAGATGGTTAACGAGGCGATGCCCCCATAAGTAAAACGAAATTATCCATGTGATATTTGAGGTTTTCACGGCGGTAACAATAATTATTATATTCTTCTGGGTTTTGGCGTCATGTGGACTGGTTGGTGGATGCCAGCGTTTCGGAGAAATGTACTTTGTCCATCTTCAAGCCTGTAGTTTCACGGTGATATTAACAAATATTCATAAAACATATTCAGTAGTAGTATCTGCAAGTCATGTATGTGTTTCTGTAGACACTTTATAACACGAAAATAAACCAGTGTTTTATTAAACTTATTGTTTAAAGCACGGCTAACTCTGATAATGGAGGCAGAGTACGTCTTCGAAACGCTAGTTTTAACTCAGCTTCGGCGCAGTTGATCGCCTCAAAATATTTTAATGCAGACATTTGCTAGTTTCTCACATCCACCCATCAAGGATGTTATAACGCAATGCTTTTCTAGCTTAGCGGGTCTACATGATTCCACATGAAAGGTCATTTTGGAAAAACGACGTTCGCTTGCATGTGCTGTGGTTGCACCATACCTATACAAAAATTTTAAAAAAACATGGATTGCTTGTGCGCTCATACAAGCTACACATTCGTACATATTCACGCATCCAGATTAAAAGAGTAGCTAGTATTTATATTAAAGTTATATTAATATATTACATTATGTGAACTGTCA